TGATCCAGTTAGACACTTATCACTGGTCCAGCCTTGACAGCTACTCCTGCTCTAGCCCCACCATCATGCATGGAGGTGTCAGCTGAATTGTTTGAACACACCATCAGTGAAATGCTGTTGGAGGATGCGCAGCAATTACAATGGTCTGTTGTTGGCTCTGAGGTTGAGGAAGGGAGTAACATGAGCCTAGCGGGAGGGGGTGCCAATGATGGACAACAAACTGGCACTCATGCTCCCCCAGCCACAGCTTACTGAGACATCCATTAATGAACGGTAACCGCTGATTCTCAGCAGTTACCAACATTACAGACCCCCAAATAGCTGATTACGTACAGTGTACGTGAGCAGTCATTTGGGCACTTAGTGGCGGAACGTAGTGTACATCTCCCGTCACAAAGGTTTTAAGCTAATTTAAAGCCAAGATCTGGTAACATAGAACATTTTGTTTGTTTGCAGTGCAAGTATTAGCTTTCCCAGCCCTCAAGGCTCCGGCGAATGTATTCTGACTCCGATTGTTGTATTGGTGATGTATCCCTTGCTGAGACCTCTATGCCTGGCCTGTATAAGCAGATATAATCACTGCGGACAATCCTTATCAGATAGCTGAACTCACCAAATGCCTTTTTTTTTTTCCACGAAGAGCTTTATTGCATGCAGCAGATTACAGCAGACCACAGGATATAGCAGATGAATGAATAGATGGTATTTGAAGGTCAAGGATGATAATGTTTCCAAGCTAGCATGTACATGTGGTCCTGCTATAGGCAGCCATGACACTGAACAACTAGTTGGAGAAGAAGGGCGGTACATTACACACAAGGGGAGGGAGTGCAAGAAAACATGGTGCAATAACCAAAATGCCCACAAGATGGAAGAATAATAAGCAGCTACCAATGGCACTGAACAAATGGCTCAAGGAAAATTAACTATGTGAATTCCCAACTTACAGTAATATAAATATTAACTATGGCTATGCATTGTGTCATATTTTTACAACTGTGTAACAGCACAGGGTGTCTCCTTTTATTCTCTATTAGGGCGGTCCTAAAGGGGGTCACCACAGTAGGCTGACATGAGGAGGAGCCAGGAGAGGAAAATTACTGTAAGTATGATAATTTTCCGTAATACCGATATTCTAATCAGAAACCGGTTAAATATGTTCCTTGGGATGTGTTGACATTATATTCCACGCATAATGCCCATCTAGAAAAATATTTATACCCATATTCTTATCAGAAATAGGTTAAATATGTTCCTTGACATGTGTAACCATGATATTTCCCCCATAATCCCCATGTAGACAAATTATTATAACCATATTCTCAACACAAACCTGTCAAATATGCTACTTAGCATGGGTAATCATAATATTGCACCTATAATCCCCATACAAAACATATTTATATAATGATCTAGTCTTACAAATGTATTGACTAATTTTCGTATTATTTCTTTGTAATTTACTGTGGAATTCCATTATACAACTTTATATATATCAGGAAGTGAATAGTTAAACATTTGCACCTATTTTTTTGCAACATATTATCAAGCACCGCAGTAAAGAACAACATATTTTGAGTTACAGCATATTCATTTCCATGTGGGGGGGGAAAGTACCCTCCCCTACATCTAAAGATTGTGTTTAGCATTGCAGCCAATCATCCCAATATGCTGTTTAGTACGTCCCCACAGGAGGCGGAAATCAGAGAGTTGAACAAATAATAATTTTCTGCAGGCGAGGAATATATTGAACGACCTGCTACGTTATTAAGCCTTGGTGCACGAGAACAGGTTCGGTAAATATATATTCATAGTAACGCCTTGTGATGCAGATATCACAGCATGTAGAGTAATTATTAAACAGAGAAACCTGTTATACCTTTTGTCACTGCCATAGAAACAAGCACAAAACAGTCAGCTGCCTGGCGTCACCATGGCGACATCAAAGCTTAACGGCGTGCAACCTAGAGTGATAGAACCTATTGCTTTACTGCCGACATCCCTATTCCTCATTGTTACTGTCAATCATAGATATTTCGTCTTTATTGGACGCCTCTTTGCTTGTTAGGGTGAGCTGTTAAAGGGTGCGTTGGTCATTTAAACGAGTGGTTAAGGTTGTATAGTTTTGTTTTACTTGTTTCGGGTGTTCAGAAGCCTTCCTAACGCTTGATCTGTGAGTGGCTTTGCAATTTAGTCGCGGGGGGCAAAATTAACTTCTTATGTACGTGACAGTCGGGTCTTGCATAGCAAGTTTCAGTGGCTTGTGTGATAATATATTATTGTTGTTTTCCAGGTTTCATGGCTTCAGGAGGGATTGGAGAGGTTTACCCGACTCTATGGGGCTTCAGTCCTGCCTTGGATCTGCAGATGCATTGTAAGTGCAGCTAATTGTCTTATCTTTAAATTAGAACTAACGGGTTGTGTACATTGTGAGTGATCCTAATTTTTACATTTCTAGAGGAGGGCAAATATCAGATTTATGAAAGTATGCTTTCAGGCTAAATTTACTTTAAGTGGGCAATGCAAAAAGTATTTGTTATAATTATAAATATTTTGCTGTAGTTGTAAAATGCAGTGGTTTGCAGTAACACTGAGCAGCCAGCCACAGTTGTGCGCTTAAAGGAGAACTATGGGGTTAAGGCTTTTCCCCATAGTTCTCCTTAGGATAACGGGAGGACACAAACTAGCGTCCTCCCGTCACCCTAAGCTCAGTATACTGAGACGCCACAGTACACCGCAAGCTATTGCTCGCGGTATACTGAGACGGCGCAGCTGAAGCGGATCCCGACAATTATGTCTGGATCCGCCCAGCTGTGTGAGTGACTGCTGGCTCTGCCTATCTAGAGGCAGAGCCAGCTGTACCCGCCCCCTCCCCCGTCCGATCTGCCAGTCAGCGCTGGCGGAGCGGGGAGGGGGGAATCCAGCCCCTCCCCTGTCACGGCAGAGAGCTGTGACAGGAGCGAGAGGTGAGCGAACGCCGGTATGTGTTCGCTCACTTCTCTGTCTACTGGGCCGACCTGTGACAGTCTCATTGTCACAGGTCGGCTAGAACTATGAGGTGAATGAAAAGCACTCACCTCATAGTTCTCATTTTAAGTGAAGTGGTGCAACGTGCTGATTATCTGTTTTTGTTTTGAATGCCATTGGAATGGCACAAAGTGGCACATGCATGCGTCCTATACTCTAGGGCAGGGCTTAAAATTTCCACTCGCCTGCTCGCATTTGGCGAGTGGAAATTGAGGACGAGCCAGACACGCTCTCTCCCTTCTCTCCTGCACTTTCAGTTTCCTCCTCCTCTGTCCTACGATCAACTGCGGCTGCTGTGTTTTTGTTTAGACAGGTGACGAGACGTGCCTATTAGAAGCCGGCGTCTCCTGTCCCCATGGATACCCGCTCTCTACTGCGCATGTGCAGGCAGACGGGACTATGAGCTCGAACTCAGTGGCCCGGCATCTAGCTATAGGCGTTCCTGTTCCCATGGCAGCGCTGGTCGGCCTGAACTAACGGCCGGGTGCTGTAATCCTTGCTTTGATCTGCACGCTGCTATTTCCCAGGAGGGGGAGACCGATCTGCAAAGGGTCATGGACGTAATTTGAGCTCTGCAAGCAGGTACTCCAGTCTATTTTTTAGGATAGTTGGAAAACATTCCCTTTCACGATTGTTTAGGTCTATTATTTGAATTTTCTGGCGGGAAATGTGACATCATACTGATGCCATAGGAAGTTCGGGGCAGTTCGTTACTGTTTTTCTATTTGGTGATTAGGTTTTTCTTGTATAAATTGTTGCTGGGAGTTGTAGTCCTCTATAGCCGCTATCATTCTGCATTTATATATAAAGTGTAGCTGGGAGTTGTAGTCCTCTATCCAAAAATGCAGAATGGTACCAGGTATAGAGGACTACAACTCCCAGCTACACTTTATAAAAGTGCTAGAACTCCTGTGTTGGAGGTGACAGGGTCAATAAAGAGTACCTGTCACCTCCAAATGCTATCACACGGGATTATTATCCCCTGTGTGATAGCAATACAGTTAAGTTTTAAAAAAAAATAGTTAAAAAAAGTAAAACATTATTATTTAAAAATGTAACTAAATAAAAATGTAAAATAAAAAGTCAATTAAGTAAAAATAATCAAACAAATGAAAAAATTTTACAAAGTAAATACAAAATGAAAACCAGCCCCGCTGCCCCCATCTGCATGCGAATTAACGCGCAGTGTTTTCAACTGCGATCGTGTGCAACTGCACGGGCAGGGCGGTATTGCAGCAGGAAAATGCGCAATCTGCCTGGCACGACTGGGATGCCATTAGAAAACCATGGCACTGCCAGCGCGATTGGCAGTGGTGTGAGATCCATGATCGTGCACGAAACCGAGCGGATCCGATCCGGTCATCGTGCATGAAACCGAGCGGATGGGTGGGTGGTCACGGAATCGCACACCACCGCCGATCGTGCTGTCAGTGCCATTATTTTCTAATGGCACCCCCGTCGTGCCAGGCAGATTGCGTGTTTTCCTGCTGCAATACCGCCCGGGCGATCCCACACGATCACGGTTGAAAACACTGCGCGGTGCATGTCGTGAAAATAGGTACATCAACCTTTTTTTTTCAGCGATTGCCATGCAGATGTAACCCCATACATGCGGATGCAACCGCTGTATGCAACTGCACACGATCGCATGTCCTGGGAATCCCCAAGTCTGCACCAACCCTAAAGGGTATATTCATTTTCCCAAGTAATTTGGGAAAATGGAATTACCTGCACAAATCTCCCTCCCACTATACTTATCTTTCGGCGAACGGTCCTTCCCGTCCACCAGTACGGGTGTACTATCTGTACCTGTTCCATGTATTCTGAATTTCGCTCGCAAATTGCAAGCACTCGTTGGTCAACGCGGTCACCTGACGGCACTGACCAATGAGAAGCGCTTCTTAGCACTGCTAAATACGGTTTTGGTTAAAACATTTTTTTTTTTCGTATCAGGACAAGTAGATTGTCACGAGGGACAAGTAGATTTGGCACCCGCTTTAGTCCTTGGACAAGTAGTTTTTTCAAAAATTTCCATACCCCTGAGAGATAGACATAATCTTGCCCCTGTACAAAGCATTAGTAAGACCTCATCTGGAATATACAGTTCAGTTTTGGGCACCAGGTCACAAAAAGTATATATTACTGGATATTGAGTTCTTATAGGTCTTATAGGTATTCTGGGCATCAGAGATTGTTGATCCAGGGAATATCCGATTGCCTTATGGGATCAGGATGGAATTTGTTTCCCCTGTTGGAGCAAATTAAACCATGCTTTTATAGGGTTTTTTTTGCCTTCCTCTGGATCAACAGGGGGTAGCTCTGGTCATAGCTTTCTGTTTAGGTTTTCTTCTCCTTCTTCTTCTTTTTTTTTTTTTAATGGGTTGAACTCGATGGGCATGTCTTTTTTCAACCTAACTAACTATGTAACTATGTAAAAGTGACGCTGAATTCAGTAGTATGTGCTTTACACTGCGGTGGAAACAAAACGTCTCTATTGTAAGCAAAGCAAATTGCCTGGTGTGAACAGGCCCTTAAGTGTATCATAAGCTAGTGGTTTTTGATAATGTAGGGAAGGGTTTTTAAACCTGTCGGGCATTTTTTCCGCTTCCTGTATTTGTTCCCTTTGGGGAGATTTACCCTCAGAATTTGCCCTGGTGACCAATTCGAGAAACTTAAACTTCTCTAAAAGTTCCACCCGGCCCATTTGCATGTCACTAGCGCCCCTGGATGGTGCTGACATGTATAAGAATTATATTCTTCAGCGTCATCTAGGGCAGTGTTCCCCAACCCCCGAGCATTTTTAAATACAATTAAATTAAAATTATTAAATCAAAACAATCTAAAATATAAACAATCAACGTCCCCCCCCTCAGCGGGCCACGGTAAAATTATCAAACGTCGACCGGTCCGCGGCGATTAAAAAGGTTGGGGAGCACTGATCTAGGGGCACTAGTGCCATGCGAAAGGATCCACCCAGCGTATGTTTGGGATGAAAGCTATCTAAGAGAATTTAATTCACTTTGGAGAGATTCCTTTCAATTCCTGGTGTGTGTGTGTGTGTGTGTGTGTGTGTGTGTGTGTGTGTGTGTGTGTGTGTGT